GTGAGCTGCCCCTAAAGAATCGTGGGTGCTGTAGTGGGTGGCTGGAGGCTCATCTCCCACTCTTCCCAAGTTGACTCTAGTTTCTCCTTCTCAACAGGTGTGTCCAGCATCATGGCCTCCTCCCAGTAACTGCAGGCATTTAATAAAGACTTGTTCACTTAGCCTTGCTCTCTCATCCTCCTCCTTGGTCTCTGCCCCTCGCCCAGCAGAGGGAACCCAGGAGCAGGCCTCTGCTCCGGCTGGGCCCCCACCCCACCCCTTTGAGGTCATGGGTAGGGAGTGCAGGGTTGAGTCAGCAAGGAGAAGGGTATGAATGAGATGTACGAGCCCAGCCTGCAGTGAAGCCTGGGCTCCTCGTGGAAGAGTGGAGGGGCGGGTCCCCTCTATCTCCGATCCTGGCTGTGTTGCTCTGTGTCTTTGGTCCAATGACTGCCTCTCTAATTCTCAATTTCCTCGTCTGTGGAAGGGGAGAATAATGGGTCTTTCTGAAAGCCATGCATTTTCCACGAGCTCTTGCAGGAAAGGTCTTAGATCGGGGCTAACCTGTTCCCGCTCTTAGAAAATGTGAGCCGTTGATAATTGATAATTTCCGACTCAGAAGGGTTCGTCACCGAGGTTGCTAACTAGTCCTCAGTACTCTTCTGTTTGGAGAAACTTTGTGAGAAAATGGGCATTTTTTTTTCCCCTCTGAAGACAAAGTGTCAGAGCTAGACAGAGGCTGCCCCTCCAGCCAGGCCGTTGTCCCCAGGTCCCCGCGTCCTCCCCTCATAGTGCTACCGCGCTTGGTCCTCAGCAGGGTGGTTTTCATTCCCATTCTGCACACGAGGTACTCCAGGCACTCTGGCAGAGTGACCTCGGGCAGTTTTCCCCTCTGAGCCTTGTCTTTAGCGGGAGGGGACCGGGACGATGGCGCCTGCCTCCTGGGAAAAACGGAGGAAGTGAAATGCCCCAACGCCCCAACAGGTGTTAATGTCTTAGCGTAGACTGGCAGCTGCTCCTTAGAGCTGTGTGCGGTGTGGAAGTTTTGCCAGCGTGTCCAAACCCTGGGAACAGAACAAAAGTGCTTCTGCAGCTCACTGGGCGCCAGATCTGAGGGGGATTCGAGGACTGGGCTGCTACTGCTACCCACCCATGCACTTGTGCAAATTAGCCAAAGGCGCCCTCACTGGGTTGGGGACAGCTCCCAGTCACCCGCTTGGCAGGTGCCCTTGTGTAGGGTACAACCTGCACGACTGACATGGCTACTCAGCAGGGCCACAAGAAATGACCTTCATAGCCTCCTTTGGAAACCACGTCTCATCCTGCTTTGCCAACCTGCTTCTGCTGCCGGAGGATCATCCTTTGAGTAGCCAGGGTGCGTGAGAAAGGCCACCTGAGGGCAAACCCTGGCCTAGTGGCCTCTGGGCATGTGAGTTCACCTTGCCGTGCCTCAGTTTGACAGCTGGGGAGAGTAGCAATTATATCACCTTCAGTCGTTCTGAGTTAATGCCTGCGAAGAGTTGGCAAGAGCTTGCCAAATCGTAAGAGATGCAAACTTGCTGTCTCCCAATTCCGTCCTGGTGATCACCTGTCAAGTTCGCTTGGGCTAAGGGTTGCTGTCTCATGAGGGTGCAGAAATGACAAAGCCACTGGCTGGACCCCTCACTCAGAGCCCCTTTTGGTCCCTTCCAGCCCTCCCTGAGCCCCTACCCTGCTGCCCTTGGACCCTCAATAGACACACCAGCTACTACTACACTGTCCGTGGATGGCTGCCAGGAAGCGGCCTCAAGGCTGGCAATTAAAAGGAGCCTTTAAACCTCAGTGGCTGGGGCCATCGGCTCCGTCTCGGAGCCCTTGTCTGGGAGGTTTGTCAGTATCTGCTGGGAGCAGGCAGGGAGGGGCAGACGGCCCATCGCCTGGGGGTCCTTTCCCCCCAGACCAGGCCCAGCACAAGAGTCCTGGGCTTCAGAGGTGGAGGCTGCCTGCCCCATCCCAACCCAGCCTTGGAAACAGCCATCATGTCTGGGAGTCTTTGGCCGGGTCCCAGCATCCCCTAGGAAAGCAGGCTGCTGCCTAGGCCTCGTCCGCTTCCTCTTCTTGCCATTGGGTCCCTTCCCGGGCCTTTGGGAGAGGCAGAGAAGGATCCCTGCAGCTCCCATACCTGGAGGAGACGTGCCTTTTAATCTTCAACTGCAAGTAGCTGGACTGTGACAGAATCCCCTGCTGTCGCACGGCCAGTTCCTGCTCTAGTCTAACTGAAATCCTCACCCCTACAACCATTCCCCTTGAGTCCTTCCCGTTTCAGTAAAGTGCTTCACACTTCCTTGTTGCTCAGGTCTAAAACCTAGGAGCCGACTGGATTCTCCCAACGAAGTCAAAGTCATGATAGTGAGTCCGGTAGCTGTTCTTTCCTAAATCTTCCCACGCCTCCCTCCTCCAGGTGCTCTCCTCCAACAGGACCATTGTCACAGCCTCCTCCCTGGGCCCCTGTGCTCAACATTCTACAGTCTGTTCCCCTGAAGTAGCCAGAGGGACCCAGTGAGCAGCTGAATCAGATCACAGCCCTCCCCTGCTTAGAATCCTACCTTAACTTCCTCTTGCATTCAGAATAAAATTCAAATTCCTTATCATTAAAAAAAAAAATTCCTTATCATTGTTTTAAGCCCATTGATTCATTCACCTAAGCTTTATCAAGCTTCAACTCAGTGCCAGACACTGCTTCAGCCACTATGGATACAGCGGTGACCAAAATGAAGATTTCCCCCTCGTGGGCTGATATTTTCAGGAAGATCAAGACACAATACATACATAAATCTTGTGGCGTGTTAAATGGCAAGTAAGTACTATGGACAAAAGTTAATCAGGGAAGGTGTGGGATGCTATTTAAATAAGGTGGTCAGGGAAAGGCTCACTGAGAAGGTAACATTTCTGCAGTGACCTGCAGGAGAGGAGGCCGTGAGCCGTGGGGATCCGGTACCTGGGGAGAGTGCTCCAGGTGACGGTAACCAAACACAAGGGCCCTGAGGCTGGAATGTGGCTCCCAGTGCATTCCAGGGACAGCAAGGAGGCCGGCCAGCTACCGGAGAGTGGGGGCGAGCTGGGAGGGAAATGGGGACCAGGATGTGGAAGACCACCACCGGGGTCTGTGGGCTGGGCTGCACTGGGCAGACTCCTCTGTGGCCTTGGCCTGTCCTCCTCTCTGTCACTCTGGCTGTTACCCTGAGTGTGGAGCCACAGGCGGGTTCTGAGCAGAGGAGGAAGGGACATGGTCTGGCGCTGGTGATCACAGGCTTCCTCTGGCTTCTTGTAGGAAAGGAGATAGGAGGCTGCCACAATGGTCCAAGGACGACAAGGCGAGGGTAGACAGAACCTGGGTGGGGCTGTGGAGGTGGGGGGAAGTGGGTGGATTCGGAATATTCTTGGGAGATGGAACGGCAGAATTTCCTGAAGAACTGGATGTGGGTTGTAACGACAGAGCAGTCGGGGATGACTGCAAGGTCTGTTGCCCGAGCAGCGAGAAGGCTGGAGGTGCTGTGAGCTGGGGCGGGGATGGCTGTGGGATGATCATGCCTGCCTAAATATTTTGTTTTGTTTTGTGTGTGTGTGTTTTTTTAGAGGCAAGGTCTCCCTGTGTTGCCCAGGCTGGTCTCCCAACTCCTGGCCTCAAATGATCCTCCCGCCTCAGCCTCCCAAAGTGCTGGGTTTATAGGTGTGAGTCACCGCACTTGGCAGCAACATCCTTTACCCGTATTTGTTTGCTTATGTTTGTTGCCCACTATGAGGTTAGCCACTTGAGAACTAACCAGGCATATCATGCTCACCACTATATGACCAGTACCCAAGCACAATGCCTGGTGCATAGTAGGTGCTCAATAAATGTTTGTTGAATGAATGAAGATAGACAAGTCCAAAGAATCCTCTACCTCCCAGTACCAGCCACCGGTACCTATTCCAGTCTGACCTAACTCCCGCATCCATTTTGTGAATCCTTCATGTCTTTGTTCAAATGTTCACCTTCCCCATGAAGCCGACCCTGACTAGTTTATTTACATTCCAACTCATGCTTGATTTTTCTCCAGAATACTTACCACCTTGGAATATACAGTGCTATATATTTCTTACAATTTTGGCTGGGTGCAGTGGCTCACGCCTGTAATTCTAGCACTCTGGGAGGCTGAGGCAGGAGTGATTGCTTTGAGGTCAGGTGTTCGAGACCAGCCTGAGCAAGAGCAAGACCCCATCTCTACTAAAAATAGAAAAAAATTTAGCTGGGCAGTGGCGCACACCTTTAATTCCAGCTACTCAGGAGGCTGAAGCAGGAGGATCCCTTGAGCCCAGGAGTGTGAAGTTGCTGTGAGCTATGATGACGCCACTGCATTCCAGCCAGGAGGACAGGGGAAACCCTGTCTCAAAAAAAAAATTGTTTTGTTTATTGCCTTCCTTCATCTGAAGGTAGTTTCGTGAGGGCAGGATTTTTGTCTGTCTTCTTTAGTGCCATTGTGTAAAACACGGTCTGGCACACAGTAGGCGTCCAATAAATATTTGTTGGGTTTGTGTAGCCGAATGGGAACACCGTACAGCATATCCCATGCCTGAGCAGGTTAAGGCCCAGTGGCGAGACTCGCCTCATGAATCATTCATGACTGTGGCCCCGCCCACGCGCGGTGGCGCGCGCGTTCGCGCGAAAGAGGGAGCGCGGCTCGTACAGCAGCTGAGGGAAGGCGAGGGGACCTGGACTTTGCGCAGGCGCCGAGCGGTCTTAGTGCCTTTCGGGCTTGGCGGGCGCGCGCGGGAGGGCGGCGGCGGCGGCGCGGTGCGCAGGCGCGGCGGGCAGTGCGCAGGCGCCGGCGGAGGGCGGGCTGAAGCAGCTGAAGAAGCGGCGGCGGCGGCGGCGGCTCGGGCAGAGGGGCGGGAGCTGAGGCGGGAGCGGACCGGCTGGTGGGCAAGTGAGCGGCGGCGGAATGGTGGACTACCACGCGGCGAACCAGTCGTACCAGTACGGCCCCAGCAGCGCGGGCAATGGCGCTGGCGGCGGGGGTAGCATGGGCGACTACATGGCCCAGGAGGACGACTGGGACCGGGACCTGCTCCTGGACCCGGCCTGGGAGAAGCAGCAGCGCAAGGTGCGCGGCCCGCGGGCCGGACGGGCTGGAGGGGGTCTTGGAGGGGAGGTGGGGGGCTCGG